ACTTCGTGAAGGGCGTGGTGGATTCGGAGGATTTGCCTCTGAACATCTCCCGTGAGACCCTGCAGCAGAACAAGATTCTGCGCGTCATCAAGAAGAACCTGGTGAAGAAGTGCCTCGAGATGTTCGCCGAAATTGCTGAGAAGAAGGACGACTACAAGATACTCGGCTCTTTATGGGTGAAAAAACATTTTCTTGCTCGTAAAAACAGCATGGAACTCTGACCGCCGGTGCTGTTTTTGACAGCAGGAAGCACAATGGCCCCTGCAAGGAAATTCTACGAACAGTTCGGCAAGTGCCTCAAGCTGGGCGTGCACGAGGACTCCACCAACCGCACCAAGGTGGCGGAGCTGCTGCGATACCACACCTCCAAGTCAGGAGACGAGCAGATCAGCCTGAAGGAGTACGTGGACCGCATGAAGGAAGGCCAGAACGACATCTTCTACATCACGGGTGAGAGCATCGCCGCTGTCTCTTCCTCCCCCTTCCTGGAGACCCTCCGCAAGAAGGGCATCGAGGTGCTCTACATGATCGACCCCATCGATGAGTACTCCGTGCAGCAGCTCAAGGAGTTCCATGGAAAAAAACCCCGCATTCCCCAGACAGTACAATAAGAGGACCTAATATTCACCCCAATATATGCAATAATCATTTTGGGGACCCCAGTTCCGGGATTTGTGAGAATATGCTCATAGCAGAGCTTATAATACTGTACTGCTTCTTAGTAGGGAATAGGGGAGTGTAATCCCTTTATAATCCCCACATGTGCGTATTGAGCCCTTTAAGAGTCCCCTACATAATCCCTTATATAGCCTGTTTTGTGGAGTTTAGATTATAGCTCATATAAGATATTCCCTTAGTCCATACTAAGAACCAGCAAGAGAAGAGGCCAACAATAAACCCTAAACCCTAAATAGTAGCTTCCATTTACTTTTCCATTATCCCTAAATAACCCCAATACAACCCTAATGTTCTATCTACTTTGAGGGGACTAAGATTGTCGCATAGGCAGCAGGCAAGGAGAGCAGAGTATGGCGGCTACTTTTTCGGGTTTAGGCTTGGGTGTTAGGGTGTTAGGGTTTAGGGTTTTAGGGTTTAGGGTTTAGGAGTCTTGTGGTTCAGGATTTACCGAGACTAGACCTTACTACCCTGCCCCTTGTGTAAAGCCCCTAGTTCTGTATATAGAATATACTAAACATAAAGTTCGGTATCCTTGAAAAGGGGTGGGGTATAGGAGTCTAGGTCGGTTTTTTGGCCATATAGGGATTATTAAAAACGGAGTTGGCCCAAGGTCTACGTATTTTATCCCCAGTAGGCTTCTTAAAACCACTGTGCATCCCGAGGGTGGCAACGAGCTCCGTTTTCCAAAAGCTCCAACTAGGCAAGTAGGTATATGGGTCGGCTTTAGGGTTCAGGGTTTCATGGTTTAGGTCTAGGGGTTTCAAGGTCATGGACCCTTTTTGGTTATAGACTGTATTACGGCACCTCACATTTAGGGGTACCAAAATGGGACCCTAATTTTGGGAACTACCCATTAGCTAATGCTCTGTTATGTGCGAAATCCAATATTCAGGATTCCTACTTTTTGGGGTGGGGGCGGGGGCAGACGGCTTAATTGGGGCTGCATACTCAAGTCCCTGAGCGTTAATCATGACGCATACCCTGAGTACCTGGACCAACACTGACTGGTTATTGGTAGGTTGGTAGGGACCGGAGGTAATCACCCTAGGAGAAGGCAGTAGTTCGCATTTTCTTTTCCATTCCTTCATGTCCCTCTGTAGCTAAACCATTGACGCGGAACCTCAAACCCCATAAGTTTCCATGTTCTCTTCCATTCTTTCATTTCCTACGAACAGCCAGTAAGAAGCCTAGCGGCCCGAATTATCCAACAAATGGAACCTCCCAACAGTCCCCTAGTTACCCCAATGTAGTCATGAGGGCATTTGGGGGGCTCCATTCGGTAGATCCTTTACCTTAAATCCCAAACCCTCCTAAACCTTATTGTTATTCTGTCTCCTTGGATGCAAACGAGGATAGACTCGATAGAGGGTCTGGGAATATAGTAGTCTCCGCAAAGAGGGGGCCCCCAATATAGGGCATAAATTATCCTCATGGTAGGGCCCCTGTGCCGAAGGGATCCCTAATTTAGGGAAACCCTCCATATCCCTGTAGGAATTCGATGGGAAGAAGCTCAAGAGCACCACCAAGGAGCCCCGAGGGTCTTTCAAGTGTTTAGGGGTTGAGGGTTTAGGGTTTCAAGGGCTTAGGGTTTGGGGCTTAGCCGAAGCCTCAAACCTTAGAATCCCTTAAAGGGACGGTCGCAGGCTTTCAGCGGATTGCTTAGGGTGCCAGGGTTCAGGGTTGAGCGCTGACGCTGTAGGATGGTACCAACCATGGGACCCTGCTTATAGTCCTAGGTCCTATAACTCTGTCCTAAACTCTAAGCCCTACATCCTAAACCCTAAGCCCTAAATCCTGAAACCCTAAACTCAAGGTTTTCACAAACCGTACTTGCTCAGGGTGCGTGCTTTCAGGCTGAATGTGTGCTTGCTCCAGCTGGCGCACGCAATTGAGCGAGCACCCAAACGGCCAGGAAGCACCGTATTCGAGCAAGCATGGTCGCTGAGCGCAAAGTTTGGGCTTCAAACTTCCAGCAAAGGTTTGCAAAGCTGAAAACAGATCGGAATGGTTCTGCACGCTCAAGTTGCGTGCTTTCAAGCTGCGTGCGCGCTTGCTCGGGTTGACGAGCATGAGCGAGCGAGCACCCTGACATCCACGAAGCACCCAACTTGAGCAAGAATAGTGTCAGATAACCCAAAGCCCTAACCCTACACCCTAAGCCCTAAACCCAGAGCCCTAAACCCTTAGTTTTGGATTCGGATCTTAGAGTTAAGACTCGGGAAATGGGGTCTTGCTGATCCTTATAGGAAGTCTCCAGCCTGCTGTGGAAGAGGTGATGGAGGGCCAATTCGGAGCCACCCTGAATCCTGAACACGGGTTTAGGGTTTAGGGCTGACCCCTAAACCCTAAACCCAAACCCTAACCCCTAAATCCTAAACCCTAAACCGAAACCCTAACCCTTAAATTCTGAACCCTAGGCTCTGAAGCCTCAACCCTGCACCTCTAATTAGCCGCCCTGCCCAGGAGGGTCTCGACATTGAGGACGAGGATGAGAAGAGCCTGGGACAAACAGGTTCTTTTCCCCCAAAAGCGCTAAAACCCTAAAACCCTAAACCTAAAAACATTCATGGGGACGTATGATTAATAAACCCCCTCCGACTAAGGGCCTTGATAGTAGGGTCCCTGCTATAACCCCTAACAAGGGGAGGGGGGGTATTGATCAGAGGCCTACATTAATCCTTACGCCCTCTTCGCCCGTTCATCATGACTTGAAAGCAGCAGTCGCTGCTTCTACTATGACTCCGGCTAACCCTACTCTGATGGCAGCCACCGCAGCTGTGCCCTCCTCATGATCCCTCAGCCCCAAGCCACCAATCCCTAATGTCTATTCCCGGATGGAGAACCCTTCAAAATAAGGAAGAAGCTGGAGGAGATGAAAGCGGAATTCGAGCCACTCACCAAACTGATGAAGGAGGCCTTGAAATGAAGCGGTGCGAGCAGTGAACTTTGAAGCTGAAAGTCTGCTGCCCTAGGTTGGAGCCCCGAATCTTTAATGGAGTCCTGAATTCCAAAGTCCGAACCATGGGCGTGTTTCATGGGCCCTGAATCGGCCCATACGCTAGAGGCCCACTAGTTCCACCCTGGGATGAAGTATTGTATCCACGCTTGAAGACAGGGTTCCAAACCCATGTGCTTTGAACTTCGCAAACCTGGATTCCCCCAAATAAGCGCGCAAAAAAACCACCAATGACTGATAACAAATACACCGCCCCCCCCTTTCTGTCGTACCAGGGTACAATGGGGGCAACATTCATTGTTTGGGGCGGCGGCGGTGGGGTTCTTCTGACGGGGTGCTGATTCTCTCCCTGATTCTCTCCAGCTTTACTACCCAGAGTCCTTAAACCCGAAGCCCCAAATGTGATACATAGTAGTTTCCATTTTCTTTTCCAGTATCCCAATATAACCCCTATACAGCCCCATGTAATTGTCAACGTTGCGGCCTCTTTTTGTAGGAAGCCTAGGACATCCCCAGGAGTCATGGGGCCGCAAAGGGAGGTTAGGGAACTTTGGAGGCCTACGGGGTTGTAATGGAAAATAAAATGGAAACTGCGTACTATGTTATTGTTGGTGTTATATAGGGGTTATATTGGGATGATGGAACATAAAATGGAAACTACTATTAAGGGTTGCGTTTACTACACCCTAAACCCATAGGGACGTCTTTCCAGGTCTTGGGAGACAAGGTTGAAAAGGTCATCGTGAGTTCTCGCATGGCCGACTCGCCGTGCGTGCTGACCACCTCCGAGTATGGATGGTCTGCCAACATGGAGCGCAACTAGGCGTTTGCAGACCTATATGTATGGCATTTTCTTGTTATTGATACTGTTGCTTCTGTTACTCTTATTCGTTGCTGTTATTGTTATTATTGCTATTGTATATTCTTCTAAACATTACAACCCTCTAAACCCTGAACCATAAGTTGTAGTATATTTTTGAGACACAGCAGACGGCTTACCCAGGGTCTGCAATTACTGTGCTCCCAGTTCTCTGAAGTCTGCGGTTTAGGGCTTAGGGTTTTTAGGGCCAGGAAGATTGGAATTACTTGAGTCATAGTGAGATTCAAGCCATGACTAGTGCTTCCTAATGTTTGTATAGCTGTAGAACTAAGGTATCATGAAGGCCCAGGCCCTTCGCGACAACTCCATGACCTCCTACATGGTGTCCAAGAAGACCATGGAGGTGAACCCCAAGCACTCCATCATGGCGGAGCTGAAGAAGAAGGCCTGTGCGGCTGATTTACCTTTGCTTTCCAAATTTTGAAAGGGGTGGAAGCCTACCCAAGACGCTCACCCCACTTTTCAATGGCAGGCTGCCGCCGACAAGTCTGACAAGACAGTGAAGGACCTGATCTGGCTGCTCTTCGACACTTCGCTCCTCACCTCCGGCTTCAACCTGGATGAGCCGACCCAGTTCGCCGGCCGAATCCACCGAATGATCAAGCTCGGCCTCAGCATTGATGACGATGACGAGGGACTCGGCGATGACGACGACCTCCCACCGCTGGAGGAAGTCGAGGGCGCTGCTGACGAGGCTTCCAAGATGGAGGAAGTCGACTAAGCGTTTCAACGCGAGGTACAGTTGTGCTGACACCCTGATTTTGCGAATGTAAGTCCTGTAAGTCAGATCCACTGTGTGGTCTAGCATACCACAAGCAGACTGTACCAGAATTCGCATAGATGCTTGGCCCAGTGCTTAGCCATAGGACAGGACAGACAGAGACCTCCGGCATGCGACAGACCTGCCAGCAACAGCCAGCTTGTGGGCTCCGGTGGGTTTATTAGGTGTTTAGGGTTTAGGGTTTAGGGGTTTAGGGTTTAGGGGTTTAGGGTTTAGGGGTTCAGGGTTTAGGGGTTTAATTAGGGTTTAGGGTTTGTGGTTTAGGGTTTAGGGTTTTAGGGTTACAATTTGTAAGTCCACCTCCCTAATCAGCCTTGGCAGCAAACAGGATATCCCGGATACAGTGCCAGTAGGGGAATACTGAACATTCTGGGGTGAGGGTTTGTGATTCAGGGTTGGGGATTTCAGGCTTTTGGCTTTTGGACTTGTAGGGTCGTTTTCATAAATGAGGGGACCCTAATATAAACCCTCAAAACTATAGTCCGTATTATACTCGCCAGAGAGGTGCCCTTAGTTTGGTGAAACCCCGTAGTTCATGCTAGCGTGGCGTAGACACGCTGACTCACAAGCTCCTTCCCCTGCCATAAGGACCCCGAATGTACAGGATGACCCTAACCCTAAACCCTAGGCGTCGACTACAGGGTTTAGGGGTGTTTGTTTTTTTTTGTGGCCTTGTTGGGGGTGGTGCTATGTCTGCCCAAAGCTGTGGCTTCCAAAAGTGCAAGAGCCTTACAGCAGTGTAATAGTTTAGGGTTTAGGGTTTGGGGTTTGGGGTCTAGGGTTTAGGGGTTTAGGGTTTGGTTTTGAGGGTTTAGGCTTTGGGGTTCGAGACCGTCACGTCAGCCCCGAGCTTGGATCTGGCAAAACCCCCAAGCCTTCAAATCGGACAGGGCCAGCATGCTAGAGGTTAGGGTTTAGGGTTTACGGTTTAGGGTTTAGGATTTAGGGTTTAGGGTTTTAGAGTTCAGGGTTTAGGTTGGGTACTGCCCCCCCAGTAACAGTCTATATTAGGGGTCCTATTAAGGGCTGTTATCCAACTGTTACTGAAGGGGGGCAGTACCCAAGGTTTAGGGTTGGTTTAGGGTTTACGCTTTCGGTTTTCTAAAACATACCCACAGCCCAAATCACCTAGAGCTTGGTAATAATTGTCCGCTACTTCGTAGGTATAGCCCATAGAGCTTTAGGTACTCTTCAATCTAAATCTCGACTGAAGAACCCAGCAGGTTGGAACATCAGGATCCCTCTTCCCAGAGACCTAGGAATAGCAAAAAGTAGCATAAATCATCCTGCCTTAAACCCAAAGCCTTAAGCCCCAGACCCTGAGCCCTAAGCCTAAACCTTACGCCCTACATGCTAAGCCTTAAACCCATAAAAGCCTTCCGCCCAATGTTTTGGCGCTTCGTGCGTTGAGGCCACACCTGGACGCTTGAAGTTCTTCATGGAGGAGGCAAACATGCTGGGATTGAATCCCTCCATACCAGACATTGAACTGGTTTAGGGTTTAGGACATAATCCCAATAGTGGATCATCAAATAGAAAATCAGACGCAACATGAAATGCAAGCTCCTGTTAGGTTTGGGGGATAGCGAAAAATCAAATGAAACACGAAGTGGAAGCTACTAGTTGGCTCTAGCGAGAATGGGGAAATCAAATGGAAGCTAGGATTTACAGGCTAGTGATTATGGAGAACCACTGAAAGCTCTTATTTAGGCTTCAGGTAGACTGGAGAACCAAATGGAAAAGGAAATGAAACATGACATGGTCACTGGACTTGCAAATGCTTTCTTACAGCTTGTAATCCCTTCATGCTAACATGAAACACCCCTAAACCCCAAACCCCGCGGCAACATTAAATATTCCCCATACGAGACCTTGTTGGGGGACATAGTTAATGAATATCGCGCATCATGGCGTTAATTTGAAGGGGGGTTTAGGGTTTAGGGGTTCAACACTGTAAGTTCAGGGTTTTAGGCCTTGGCGGGGTCTCGGGTCTAGGCCTGGGCAACCTGTTAGGGGTTGCGGGGATCTTGATGGCGTTCATTATGTAGAGGCTAGATGGACACAAGATAATCACAATTCTCCCTTAAAGCCACTGTTAATGTAGACCCGTGATTAGTAAACCCCCTCCTTTACGGACATAATATGAGGATCCCTATCGTAATACCTACTAAACGGAGGGGGTTTGTTAATCACGGGTCTACGTTACTGGGTGGGGGTTCCACCTAATGTAGAGGGTTTTGCTCAGGTAGCGTTTCCGTACGGCTTCAGCTAGAGTTCCAGCTGGTCATGGTGTTAATATGCGGTTTCCCAAAATTAGGGGTACCTGGGTACCTTTTGCAGGGTCCCCATAACAAGGATTATAGTATGTTGGGGTCTATATTGGGGTCTCCCTGTTTAGGGCAACTACCATATAAGGATTAGAGTATATTGGGGTCTATATCGGGGTCCCCCTATTTAGGGCAACTACCAAAGGGAGCTGTGGTCCCCAGAATATTGTGTAGCTAAAATAAGAAGGTTTTGATGCCGTATAGTGTCGGCTCAGAAAAGGGACATCCTAAACCCTAAGCAATCTCAATCTAGAGCAGCAAGACAACGGGTTGGCTGCCTTAGATGGCTGCAGTGATGCCAGAACATGCCTGCTGTCGAGTTGTGATCTGGCATGTCTGTCCCAATCCTGGAAGTAGAACCCCCCTTACACATATGGGTGGTTGTCAAAATTATGGTCCCTTTTTGAGTACCCTAAATTATAGATGCCGTATTATAAAAGGGATCCCAAAAAGGGACCATAATTTCGACAGCCACCCATATTATACCTGTTTGTGCATCAGTCTGCACTGGGCTTCGGGAGCAGCGACTCTGACTCTGCTACATTACTCTAAACCCTAAACCCAAGCCCAGTTAAAGACTTGCAGGCCAATTTTGTAGGAGATGGCATCTCAAGATCCCAAATGTTCCATTGAATGTGCCAGTAGCTGAGCCTAGAAAAGCCCGAGCAATGCCTGAAATACATCTTTCCCATTCTTTCAGTGCGCCTGAAGCTTCTGAACTCCATGGCCCAGGACTATGTGGTGAAGAAAGATACCTGGCAAAACGTCAAAGCCTTGGTCATCGACGAGGCTACGCTTGAAAGGACCGCTGTTTTCAGTAACTTTGGCTTGCCAGTAGTTGAGTAGCGGGGAAGTGGACCCCCGATATATACCGCTACAGTAGAACTTGTCTTTACTCCTGCGCCTGTAGCACCGGCAAGATAAGTCTGTGTGTAGGGATGAGTTTATTGTGTGAATCTACACATGCTCTAGAAAGCCTGCAGTGCTAAGTTTTTTTCTGTGGCGCAGTCGCGGTTGGTTAGGGTGAGTGAGGGGATGAGGTAGATTCTCAGGGCCCCATAGAGAACCCTCACTTTACTAACCCTGGTTTCCTTTGCATAACCCCCTTAGCGGGGGGTCCTTCTCAGGAGTCTGTCCCATTTGGTGTAGTGCACATTCTCCTGATTTGGGGATTCATGTTAGGGCCTTGTTGGAGGCTCGAGCATATGCAGGGGATGTAATGTTTACATATGGCTTTGGAAATGCATGCTGCATAATGCCCTTTCAATGCTCGTATGTCGCTTGGGTCCTTTGGGGCGCAAAATTCCGTTCCAAACTGCTAAACCCGCTAAATCCTAAACCCTGAGTCCCTAAACCCTGAACCCTATATAAACCCTAAACCTTAATCCCTATAGCACGGAAGCCTACCCTTCTGGGAAGATTCCCGCTTCTGAAGGTGGACACCCTGGTGGGCGCGGACTCGCCGAACCCCATCTTCGATTTGAAAGCTGAGCGTGGGCCTTGCAAGCGCTGTAGAATCCTATATAACGCCTATACTGCACTGTCTTTAGGGTTTTTAACTGTTGTTATAGTATAACCCTACGGAAATATTCAAGGTTGTATTTTTATTGTAGGTCTAAGGAGACCACAATATATACTATAGTAGTGTCCATCTCCTTTTTGCATTATCCCTATATAGTCCTATTCACTATATAACACCTGTATAACTGTAGAAATCTAAATGGTAAATTCGAGTGCACGATTACCAATATTGTAGTAAATATGGACAATCAAATGGAAAAGAACATGGAACTCGAAATGGACACGGGCTTATATAGGGGTTCTGGTATAGGGTACCTCAAGCAGACCTTAACATGATATTGGTAAGGGTGTACGTGTCAAGACTTGATTGCATGGTTGGAATGGTGTCTGAAAACGCGGTGCAATAACGGACCTCAGGGATATATCGGGAGTATTGACGATGATTTCTTTTGGAATTCTTTTGAGAAAAACTTACATATGGGAGTTTACCAAGATGATCCTCGATAAGGGAAACCCCATAATCTCTTTTCCCGATAAAGCTTTTGCAGTCTTTAGAGGCCCTCCATCTTGAAACTGTGTCCCTCTCTGCTACTTAAGTAGGCAGAACATTCAGAGTAGGACCCTACAGCCTAAACCCTTAACCCCAAATCCCCCAACCCTAAGCCCGTAAACCCTGAACCCCTAAGCCCTTAATCCTAAACCCTAAACGCAAAACCCTAAACCCTAAACCCCTAAACCGTCAACCCTAGACCCTGAACCCCTAAACCCTAAACCCCTAACCCCTTGCACCCCTGAACCCCTAAACCTCAACCCTTAGCCACTAAACCCTGAACCCGTAACCCTGAAGCCCTAAACCCTTAACCCCTGACCCTGAACCCCAACAACGGTAGACCTCAACCCTGAACCCCTAAACCCTAAACCCTCAAGTAAGTTTGGCCCAAGTCGGATTCAGCACTTGCACCTATGGCTCCCCTACGTCCTACGCCAAATCTCAACGCCAACGTCCTCAAGCCCAAACTGGGGTTTTCAAAAATTACGAACCCTTTCTGAGAGCATCCCTTTTTGTCATAGTATGCTCGGATCCCGACTTGG